GGTTACAATAAGTATAGATACTTGCAAAATAGTCCATTTATCACATTTCACTTTTCAAACATCACAAAAAAAAAAAAGTGTGTGTGTACATATAAAAGCAAACAGCAGCAATAAGATTCATATCCCGCTGACACTACTTTTGAGCAAATAACCAGGACAACTATCTAAAATTTTCTGTAATTTCAAGTTGAATACTGATTACTAAAGCACACCTTTGCATTGTCAAACTGATGCACATCAAATACATTTTTAACTACATACATTGCACAAAAAGCTGCAAGAGTTAAGCTGGCAATATACTGTGCAAATTTTGTTCATTGGGCGGCCCTGGCGGCCCCACTCAGTTTGTCAAAATTTATTGTTCAAATCGACTTTGTCCAAAAATTTTCCAGCGGGCTCCTTTTAACAAAACAACAACTGCATTCAATCAGATGCAAACACTGTTTGGGTATTTTTGACAGCAGGCAGGACAGGCTGTGAAAATACAATAGCTGTAGCGGGAGATTCATTTGCCCATGCTGTATAGCAGTCATTGGCTGAGCGAAAAGAAACTATTACTGTATGGCCAGTTTTAAAGCATTGCTTCTAACATTTGTAGTGCATTGATCTTACCCATCTGTATTTACTGTACATAGTGCACCATATTTAACAGGACCTAAATCCGTTAAGACAGACAAGAAGTTGAGGGGAAGTGTCTGCAACAGGCTTATGGAAGTTATAGCAAGCATTACCCTACTGAGAACACAGATGCATCTGAGACTACCATACCCTTGGGGGAAATAATCCCTCTATTAAACATGCCACCCTTCTTAGTGAAGGGACATTAGGAGGCTGTAATTACTTTCTCCAAGCTACCACATGGACCCGATTCTGTCCTTTAGATTTAGAAGGGAAAAGAACGTCAAAGACTATACCACTATTGACCTTCGTAGCGGTTTCCGTTTTCCCCATCCAACACATCTATGTCTAAAATGTATGTAAACCCCAACAGTAAACTTCTCTTACTTGGTCCCTTTTGGTCTGAAAAATATACAACTGAGCATTTTTTTTTTTACATCTGTTTGAGAACAGCCTTAAAGTGGCTTTAAAGTTGAGATTTTTTTTTTACCTTAATGCATGCCCTGCATGAAGGTAAAAAACGTCCCATTGTATCGAACCCCCACCTCTCTGAACGCTGACCTGAGTTCTTCTTGATCAGCACTGTGCCTGTCTGCAGAGGTGTTCTAAACTTGGAACACAGAGGCAGCAGCGGGAGACATTAGCTTGTCAAGGCCAAGTCGCATTGTGTGTGTCTATGGATGCACACAGCCCATCCTGGGAGCATACCTGCACAAATGCCCCATTAGCAGTCAGCTTGCTATGGGGGCACTCGCAGAAGAGGAGCAGTGGAGAGCATGGGCAGGGGACCAGAGAAGTGGATGTAAGAGACCACTTCTTTCCACTTCCACAGGTAAGTACAGCGTATTTATTTTAGGGAAAAAACCTTTTAGAACTACTTTAAATTACTGATTTTGTCAGAAATTATGTCAGCTAATATGAGCTCTCTTGACTGCAATGTATTATTTTCATTGAAATAAAAAAAAACACACACAACACCACATACGCCCTCATACTGTGATGCACTGTCCCATGTCAGCCTCTAAGACAGACTGTTTGCTCAGAGCGGAGAGCAGTGATTGTCAGACAGCGGGTGACCCACAAGAGAAGTATGGCCCAAAAAAGCTTTGGCCATAATTTAAGTTATCAATTTTTCTTGAGAAGTCGCTTTTGCACACGCTTTTTTTTTTTACAACACATTGTAAGTATTTTACTAAAAGTTAAAAAAGAGAGGGAGTCTAAAAATAATTTGTATATTATGAGATGCCGTAAGAGTTTTATCAGAAACACTTACAGGCTTATTCTTACATTGTGTAAATCAATGACAATGCAAAGCTGTGTGATGTTTTGGTATTTTCCTTCCTATACCCGATAAAGATATACACTCTTGAAAAAATAAATAAATAAATTGCAAAATTCTACAACTTTACCAGGAGGGCAACAGATCAGTTTTATAAATTAGAAAGCAATTAACCAGTTCTGAAGAAAATACGCCTACATAACGTTTTAGATTTTTACCAGCACAAAGAAAGGAAAAAGAAAATTGTAGGGAATTAGCCTTAACACATTCAAGCTAATATGTTCACATCTAATAGAAGCCAGGCACATAAGTGAAGTTCAAAGTGCATATTAAAATACCAAAATAGCTGCTGGAACATATAAAGGAGACATCACAGAAATATGTATCACATATTTCACTGACAAGATTTTATGTGCACTTTTTTCCCCTTAGCAAAAAGCAGTCACGCTGCAGATTGTAAACAAAGGAATGTAAACGACCAAAGATGTATGTGTTGTATGCATATAAAACAGTGGGTCTTATACAAGATTTGTCAGCTATACAACTTTACTATACTGACAAAGTACCATGCTGGAATGAACACACAGTTGTAGGTTTAAAATAGGTTTTTTAAATACCACTAAAAAAAGGCCATGGCAGCTATGATCTAAACACATGGCTTACTGCTGACAAGAAATATTCAAAGTGTTTTTAAATGACTAATTATATGGTAATGGGGCTGCAGAAATGAAGGCCAATTCCCTAGAACAAGGCAGAAAGGTACAAGTAGCAGTTGCAGCCTCTCCCTGAAGAGCAAAGACAGCCAGAAAGAAGCAGATAGTTATTCCCTGGAGAATTCATACATAACAATGCCAATTATAAAGCACTTTATACAGTTTACATTATGGAGATTGCTTTTGTTTACTTCTTCCCTTTATAAGGCATTTGTGATTGAGCTACTAAATGTAATTTTGTAGAAATATTCTTTAAACACCTAAAGTGAACTGGTCACATTGAATAAACATGGTCATGTGTGGGAAAACGAGGGCTTCAATGACCATCATTACACAGATGAATAACAAACATTCTAACCAGCAGTATAACAGCTTGGAGGCAACATGAAATATTACATTCTACTATTCTCTTTTCCACTGTTTTATACCGCAGTCTGTGATATCTTAAAGTGCATTTTCGGTCCAAATTAGTTTTAGATTTGATGGACTAAGACCGAAAGGAAGGGGAAAACACAACTCACATTGTCACTAGAGAAATAGAAGGGGACATCTTTGAAAAGGGGAGCATTGTTCCATTCAGTTCCATGTCCAAATGAAGATTTTTCTCCCTTAGCAGAGATCTCATATGAACTTCATGGAGTCTCGAGTCAAAGATTAAAAAGGAAACCTCTCCAAAGAAAAAAAAAAAAAAAAAAAAAAAAAAAATCTAAGGAGAGGTTTTAAAGCTGATCTCAGGGCTCCCCCTATCTGGCTAAACAACCAGACTACACTATGGCTAAACAGAAGTGGAGATTGCCTACCAATGGCGGGGCATAGGTAATGTTCCCTAATGTTGTAGAACAACACACTTGGAAGGAACTCAAGCCAAAAACAGGAACACAACAGCTATCATATAGGGTCCCTAACATAACCTATTTTGCAGAGAAGAAAAGTCCCAGGACTGCCATCCAACCTACCCCAAATGATTCAACCCCACCAAACCTCAATACTCTTCCTAAATGCTTCACAATGAAATAAAAGGAAGTGTGGACCCCCTTATAATGGCTATACTATGGCAGGTGGTGAGAATCTTTGCAGATATCTCATTACCGAAGCCACCATAAAAATAAGTGGCTGTGGGTAATAAAATGACTGGTCAATCCCCCAGCTCACACCTCAAACATGGTAGTTCTGGAAAGTGATACAAATTCTAACAATAAAAGCAATAGGTAAATGTGAAATGAATATATTTAAACATGATCAGTTCACTCTAAGTTCAGCGTTTACATTTTTTTCCTATGACCAATACACAATATGTACCCACCAAAAAAACAATTGTAAGATTACCTTTTGTAACCAACATAAAGCCTGGATTTATATCACAGTGCTTATGAAATTAAATGAATTAGGAAAAGCCAGTATTACCTTAACATATTTAGCATACATCTGCTCATCCAGTGGAAAACTCTGTACTGTCCTTTCATCTCGCGCATGGAAAGTGCCCAGTTTTACCCACTTATTGGTAGGATACCTGCGAAGTAGAAAGTTTAACATTTTTCAAACCCAAAGACTATGTCTGCATCCCTCCAAAAACAATTTAGATGGTGCCCAGCATGCACAATCTAGCTGACAAATTTTATTCACAATGCTATTTAGACTATGGAGAAGACAGCAAGCTATACCTTGGAGCGGATTTACAAAAACGGAGAATGCAAAATCTGGTGCAGCTGAGCATGGTAGCCAATGAGCTACCTTCAGCTTGTTCAACTAATTATGACAAAAAACTGGAAGCTGATGGGTTTCTATGCAGAGCTGCACCAGATTTTGCACTGTCAAGATTTAGTAAGTCAACCCCCTTATCTCAGGACCAATAACTCAAGATACCTCCAACATGGCTGCTTACGTTTCCTTGTGAACATGCTCAGTGAACAAGAGGTCTAAAAAAGTGGTGGGAAGACTGGCCAGGTCAGGCAAATGTTCATTTATTTCTTAGACACTTGTAAAGTGCCAGACATCAGTTACAACAAAGGTAAAGTCTTTAGAGACCATTGTTTAGAAGTTACCAGTAAAGTTGTAAACTTTCTCTGTCCCTGGGATAATCTGTTTCTCCATCCTGCAACTACAAAAGGGGCAACAGAGTCTATAGGGTTGATTAAAGGCAAATAAACTGTTCACTTTACAAGGGTATTTTCCAATAGCTTAGTGAATGTGGTGAAATTCCCAATCACTTGCAAGGAAAAAAAAATAAAAGAATTGACATGTTTAAAATGATTTTTATTTTCAGAGGCAAATCTATTCTGACAGCAGTAATTTGACCATACATTTCAAGATATGCCAATATACACAACTTAGTACCTGTCACTAATGGAAACCAGAAAATCTCTTGGTGTGGAAGAGAAGAGCTCATAGTTCGCAATGTCTAGCTGCTTCACTTGGATTGGTTCACAAAGTTCAATCACAAACCTGAAAATAATTAAAACTATTGAATTTAAAATGTTACTTCTATGTATGACAATGCAAATGTATAAAAAAGGTACGCTACCAGTCTGTCAAAAACTATAAATACTAGATTAAAAGACTCTAGTTGAATAATGGAATTTTTGGTATGCCTGGAAAATTCTTTTCTTGGAGTACACAGAACATCTTCATATCCATAACAATATGTTGCCACTTTCAGGATCTTGGACACTGGCAAAAAAAAAGACAGTATTCCCCTCCAGACTAGGCATAGCTTAGGTTTAGTAGCAAGCCATGAACATAGGAAGGGGGGTGGGATCCCAGTGTCCTGTGATGTACTTCAAGAAAAGGATTTTACAAGTAAACAAGAAATCACATTTTCTCCATTATACATCACAGGACACACAGAATCTTCATATATGATAGGGATGCCCCAAATGACTGAATATGGAGGGATGAGGAATGGGGAAACACGACAAAAAGCCAACAGGCCCAAAAAACCACAACAGGTTTTTCCTTGGCGCAACATTATAGTTCACCAAAAATTGCATACTATATTGCACTTGTGTGCCCTAAATTTAACTTTAGTGTAGTTTTTAATGAAATTCTGCATTTGATCAGCCACAAATGCAAGTATTGTGTGGCATAACAAATTTTAACTACCAACATTTTATTCTACAAGTTCTCTGCTTTTACAAAGTATTTAATGTTTGGGGTTTTTGTTTTAGTAATCTTCAGGACTAAAATGATTATTATTTTAAAATGTGTGCAAAAAAGTGAAAGGTTTAAAGCAGCCCTTTTCAACCAAGGTGCCTAGGCACCCTAAGGTGCTTTCTGGGTTCGTCAGGGGTGCCTAAACAAATGCCTAAAAAATTCCCCAAATTACCAGAAAATTATGTACAAGCCAGCAGGTGGATAAAGCCTGCTTTTTTTGCTACACAAAGCCACAGGTTCCATTGTGAAGCGTGCACACATCCTACACGTGTGGCACCTATCAGTTTAGTTTTTTACATTTTAGAATGGGGTGCCTCAAGATTGTACCTAATTTTAAAGGGTGCCTTGATTGAAAAAAAAAAAAAAAAAAAAAAAAAAAGTTGAAACACTGGTTTAAAGAACCAAATAAATGACTTCTTGAAAATGAAATACACCCCTTGGACTTACATAAATGGATAAACAGATGAACATATAAAATATAAAAAAAAAGTACATATTTAACATGACAATATAGTTACTCACCAAATTTTTGTGCTACATGGGTTTAACATGTACAGGTCCATGTTTTCTATAAGTATTGCTGATGTGCTCTAGAAGAAAATTATATTAACATATTACGCTTTAAAATATATTTAATTTTGTTTCATCTTGTATATAGGCTACATTAAGCTACAGTATGAACATAGGGTTGTTGATAAGGGGGGCAGTATTACCGGTTGAGATACAGTACTGTACTAGCTTGTCTTTACAGTGGTTCTAAAAGCAATTTTTATTTTTTTTACCTTAATGCATCCCCCCTTTTCCTCTAATAAATACTTACACAAGTCCTTTCTCAATCCAGCACTGTCCCAGTCTGTAGGGGTGCTCATCCCTCTCTCTGCTCTCACAGGATGCAGAATGACAGATGCTGCTCAAAACCGAGCAGTGGGCAGTGCCGTATGTTCCCTCCCGCGAGTGCCCCCATAGCAGCCATTTTGTTATGGGGTCAATGTCCATATTACAATCATATACGTTCCTGAAAAAGGCTTAGGAGTGGTGGATGCTGAAGCAACAACCAGCTGGAACTGGAGATATTACAGATCAAATGCACATATTCGCCAGCACACCACGGATCATGGAATACAGTCCGAAATCTTTATTGGACGATCACATCACAAGGGACATAGTGCAATTTTTTGGAGCCACACAGGACCCATTCATCAGGCATGTGATCACATCCCATGAGAAAGGGGTCCTACTTGCCTTCAAAACATTGTCCCTTGTGATGTGATCATTCTTAAACCGCTTCCGCGCCACCCCAGAGCAGAAATACTGCTACAGGGTGGCACGACATTCGTGGCCTCGGCTGTCAATCAGTCGGTCCCGGCCAGTGATTCCCTGCTGGCACCCGGCAATCTCCTAGTATCTCTGACGGGGGAGAGACCTGTATGTAAAACAACACAGGTCTCTCCCCTGTCGGCTCCTGCACACTGCTTTGTTTGGCTCTGCATAGCAGAGCCATACAAAGCAGTGTGCTTACAGTGGAAATCACACACAGCCCACATAGTACCCAGTTAACCCTTTGATCACCCCACATGTTAATCCCTCCCTGCCCAACGTCATTAGTATCGTGTCAGTGATTTTTATTAGCACTTATCACTGTATTGGTGTCACTGGGGATGTCAGTGACACCAAGTCAGTTCCCCCTAGTGTCAGAATGCCCGCCGCAGTCCCACTATATAAGTCGCTGATCGCTGCCATTACTAGTAAATGTAAAAAAAAAAATTCCAGTATATATACCGCCGTTTGTAAATGCTTTCACGTATTGGGATTTTTTTTTTTTTTTAGCAAAGACATGTAGCAGAATACATTTTGGCCTAAATTTATGACGAAATTTGATTTTTTTTTTTTTTTTTGCTAGACATGTTTAAAAATAGTAAAAAGTCAAAAATATATTTTTTTTTTTCCACAATTATTGGCCTTTGTTTATAGCGCAAAAAATAAAAACTGCACAGGTGATCAAATACTACCAAAAGAAAGCTCTATTTGTGGGAAAAAAAAAAAAAGGACGTACATTTCATTTGCGTGCAGCGCTGCTTGACTGCACAATTGTCAAAGGTCCATGGTGTGCTGGCGAATATAGTTAATATGCTATGGGGGCACTCGCAAAAAAGGAGGTGCAGAGAGTGCCAGCAGGGGACCCTAAAAGAGGTGGTAAGGAACAGCTCTGCGCAACACCAATGCACAGAGAAAATAGGTATAACGTGTTTATTATTTTAGGACAAAATAAATTGCCTTTATAACCCCTTTTAAACCAAGGACCAGTTAAAAGGAGTCTGTGTATTGCTTTCTTAAGCTGGCCATAAACTGTAAGGGCTGAACTAGAGAAATCTATTGATTCCCCATACACAATAAACAACCTCGAATGGGCAATCTCTCTAGCCAGCTATTGTATTCTGACAGACACCATCTGTAGCAGAATATCTAAACAGTGACTGCACCTGATTGGAGATTGTAGTTCAGTAGACCTCCAGGGCAGGGGTTGCTGTATTGGTTGCATGTGTCCCCTATTTTGGAAATTCCTTCAATGTGGACACATGCAACAGTAAGAATCATACTTGTCAGGTAAGGCCAAAAAAATTATAGAACATCTGGCTTGTTTTTATTATGGTCTGTGATCCTTATTGGGGAGATTTCTTCTCACTTCCTGTCCCTATAACAATGGACCTCGGGGCAGAAAGTGATGTGAATCTGAAAACAGGGAAAGAGTGGAAGACTACAAAGTTCTGAGATCTCCAATGACTCAGTTTCCAAGCCTGAAATTGGGCTTTAATGTCAATTAAAATGTTACTAAACTCTCAACAGTAAAAATCAGTCTGTATATGCAGTAAATAATGCTTGTTATACTCACTGTGGAACCTAAAAGGGTTAATCCTCTGCATTGTGTAAAAATGCTGTTTGATCCTGACTTCTCTGATTCTCCCCTTCTTTTAGTGTTCCCCTCTTATCTCCTGATAAGACATATCGTGTGGAGACACTCTGCACATGCTCAGTTTGGTGTGTATTGCTAGAGAGGGTTTTTTTTTTTTTTTATTAAATCTTGGGAGAGTGCATGTGATCAGTACAGGGCCAATCAACACTGTCCAGACAGAGGTGAGGGGTTCTGCATCCTCCTAGTGCAGACTGAAAATTCCTCCTACAAGCTTTAACATGTGCCCGGCTGGACACTGATAGAAGTCCCAAGACTGCTATATACTGCTAATGAGAAAAATTATTTAGCAGTTTATATTTACTAAAATAATTGCATTTCCATATTCTGTGTACTGTGGGAGACCAGACATAGTGAATGCAGGGTCCTGGGTTTAGAAACACTTTAAGATGGTTTTCAAGGGGCCTCAATATGCAGCTAAGTCTGATCAAACCGGCAAGTGTGCATGTACCGTACATCTTCTGATCCAAAAATAAAACAGGTTTAGTGTGGATTCCAACAAGTTTAAAAACACGGCACATTAATCTTACCTTGGCCTCAGGGTTGGCAGATAGTATCTTTGCACCACACTCCACAGACGCATAATTGTTCCTATTCTTTTGGACCTTTACTGTATGCTGCCCCCCATTGACTGAGGCATGCGAAGACTGGCCTGGGGAAAAAACATTAAAATAGTGACTGACTTTGCCAGTTGCTTTTTGATAGCAAGTCCTTCTGCAATACTGTGAGTGGAAAACTTTGCCCTGTTCATGTGATACACAATAACCTCTAATGTGAAATTCCAGGCTGTGATGACACTCCATTTTCTAAAGGACAGATTATTCCCTTCAGGGGCCATACAGTCTGCTCAGCTGACTGTCATCCAATTCCAGAAATGCCTTTTGTTATTAATATCTACAGAAAGGTAGTTCTAAAAAACAAGGTCAAGTAGCATGCCGCTAATGTAGAGTGGAAAACGTGAAACAATTTTCTAAACCAAAGAAGGCAGTGTATATAGTTGCCTGTTCATTTGGAATTGTATCCCACATCTTAAACAGAAAAAATATGCAATGCTATGCGTTACAATTATAAAAACATTTTTAAAGATGTTTTAGAGAAGTTTAAATAATTCATTTGGACAAAGCTGGTCCAAACGAACTATTCACTTTACCAACACATGCAACGGCTTGTCAGTGCTGTATTCTCAGGCACATACAGTATACAGTGCTGTGTTTGAGTAGCGCTATCAGGCATTCCTGTCCTGCTCTTGGAACAAAATGGAGTCGGGATGAAAGTTGCTCAGCCATTCACAGGAAGCTTTGTATTCTCTGACTAATAATAATAATAAAAAAAAAAAATGAATAGAAAGCTTCCTCCGGATTGGCTGAGGCAAAAAGGTGGATGAATGAAGTCACAATCTCCAACTCGGACAATCAGAGAAAGCCTTGTATTCATTGACATAATACGAAGCTTGCTGTGAATGGCTGAGCAGCAATCAGCTGGATCTGAGTTTGTTCCGGGAGCAGGATGGGCTGCCAGAACACAGCACTATGTACTGAATATGACTGAGGCTACATAGTTTGTGAAGGAAATTGTTTGGATCAGCTTAGTCCAAACAAACTTTTTAACCACTTTACAACCACGGACACAGCTGATCACATGATGTGGTAAAAGGCCAATCACAGCGGCCTTTTACCACGCGATCAGCTGTGTCCAATGACACTGTCACAGTGTGAGGAAAGTACTGCCAATAACCAGCAGCTGTCAGAGAACAGATCGGCACTGATTATAAGTGCCCACCAGTGCCGCAAACCAGTGCTGTTCATCATTGCTGCATATCAGTGCAGCATCAGTGCTGCCTATCCGTGCCACCTCATCAGTACCCATCAGTGCTGCCTATCCATGCCACCTCATCAGTGCTGCCTATCAGTGCAGCCTTATCAACGCACATCTATTATTTTATAATAGAAACAAAGAAAAACGTTTCTATAGTGCAAAAAAAAAACACCCAGTGGCATTAAATACCACCAAAAGAAAGCTCTATTTGTGTGAAAAAAAAAAAAAAAATTTCATATGGGTACAGTGTTGCATGACCGCGCAATTGTCGAAGTGCGAAAGCGCTGAAAGCTGAAAATTGGCCTGGGCAGGAAGGGGGTATAACTGCTCAGTTGGCAAATGGTTAAACGGTACTAAAAACACAGACATCAGCTTTAAAGTAAATTTGCTCTGAGGAAGGTATGGGGCTGCCTTTGATGATTTCTCCATCTGAAAATACTAGATACCCAAATGTCATAATGTACTGGCTTTAAATTTCTCCAAGTCAGTTTTTAGAAAAAGCAGAATACGGAGTTCCATCTTTAGTCTATGCACGTTTCTTTTAGAAGAATTAAGATGGCCTGTTCACAAACACGATCGCTCACCCCTTCCCAGAGCAGTTGTTAATGGAATATATGGAGACATCACTTTATAACTGGAGACTTCAATAAACTGCCAATCTCAACTTGCCACAGCACGCCAGACCAAATTGATTTTTTTATTCTTTATCTTTAACTTTTAATAAGAATATTCAGCTCAGAGGAACCAATTGATCTATTGCAACTTAATATAATGATCTTAGAATAGCTATAAATATTCTTAAAAGTTAAACATACCGCAGTTGCAAAAAGCACCATACCCCTTTTCTTCTCATATTAAAAAAGTATCTGTGGAGCCACCACATTCAGTAGTACAACACTGACAGTAAAATGTCATATTCATTGGGATTTGACTGCACCTGTGCCTGGACAGCCATCAATGTGTACAAAGTGCACTGTTTACATTCAGCTTGTTTGCAGTACGTACTGTATGTGTAGACCAGGACTAAGAACAACAAGGAAGGCAGCTGAACCATATCATACACCTAGATGGCATCAACACTGTTCAGTGCCAAGAGCTTTAACCACTAGCCTACAGGGCACTTATACCCCCTTCCTGCCCAGGCCAATTTCCAGCTTTCAGCACTGTCGCACTTTGAATGACAATTGTGCGGTCATGCAACACTGTACCCATATGAAATTTTTATTTTTTTGTGACAGATAGAGCTTTATTTTGGTGGTATTTAATCACCTCTGGGTTTTTTTATTTTTTCTTAAACAAACCAAAAACCACTGAAAATTGTGGAAAAAAATGTTTTTTCTTAGTTTTTGTTATAAAAATTTTGTAAAATAAGTGATTTTTCTCCTTCACTGATGTGCGCTAATGAGGCTGCACTGATGGGCACTGACGGGCTGCACTGATGGGCACTGATGAGAAGGCACTAGTAGGTGGCACTGATGGGCATTGACAGGCATCACTGATGGGCACTGAAAGGCAGCACTGATACATGACACTGATAGGCGGCATTGACTGGCATTGATAGGTGGCACTGACTGGCACTGATGGGTGACACTGAAAGTCAGCTCAGATGGGCACTGATATGTGGCATTGATATGCACTGGTAGGCAGATATGATGAGCACTGACATAAGGCACTGATGGACACTGACAGGTGGCACTGCTAGGGCTACACTGATCATCAGGGCACACTGATCATCAGTGCCCTGATGATCAGTGTACATGTCCCGTCCGCGGAAAGCTGATTACCGGCTCTCCTCTTGAGCTGTCAGCGTGGCAGCTCGGGAGGAGAGAAATGCCGATAACCGGCATTTCCCTGTTTATATGTGATCAGCTGTGATTGGACACAGCTGATCACATGACCGAGCCGACATCTTCGGCTCTTTCCGTGATCGGTGATCCGCTGTGTCCGAGGGACACCACGCACCACCGCTTGCCGTGCTGCGTGCTCCCTGAGCCGCGCATGCGCAGTGAGAATGGGAGGATGTCATATGACGTCCTCCCAGAAGGAGAGAACCACCTTGCGCCCGTCATATTACTATATGGCGGGCGGGAGGCGGTTTAATGCTTTATTTGCTAGGGGGGAAAAAAAAACAGATTTTTTCATCACCTGCATATACAGTACACCACATATTTTGGAATCTTCAGCAATTCATGGAACTGTAAACAACAGATCCACATTTAAATCCCAACTGTCGCTCACAACAGTAGATTGCAGGCTTTCTTGACAACCTAACACATGAGCTGCAGTTCAGCCGAATTTGGAGGCCACAACAGTCTTCTGCATATTTTAGACACAGCTCTTTGCTGATGTCCCCCCCAGTTCTAGACGGCACTCCTGTCTGCAAATATGGCTCTTCTGCAGTATTGCAGGATTGGACTTGTACAGCCCGGCACTAGCAGCATACATGCTGAATTCTGCACAACAATGAGATTGTTGCTGTCCTTCATGCCCGCTGGCCCCTGCATCGAGGGCAAAGTTGCAAGACTCCTATAAGCCAGTTCTGGCTGCTGCTCTGCACCCGTAGGGAAGCTGGGTGCTGCTGTACATCACTCTGCTGGGACTGTCAGGGGCCCAGGAAATACAAAGCTGGACCCCCGAATCTCCACCCCCACTTCCAAGAGCCAGTGGGAGTGCAACACAATGCACTCCTGCCAAGCCGGGACCCCCATCTGCTCCAACAACTCTCATAGCAGACTGGAAAACAGGACACAGCAGGAGGAAAGATGGGGTCAGGTAGTTGAAAACCATTGCTTTAAAAATACTGTATATTCTGTCTAGGGGAAGCTTAGACATGCTGTTTACCATATATGGTTTGTATTTTTTTACAATGATCCACAATCTCATAAATGCTATACTGTAATTGTCACCGTGACTTGGTTTGTTTTGGTTTTCTTCTGTAAAATTTTCTATAAAACTTAATGTAACTAAAGTCAGAGTGCTTTATTTCTCAAAATGTGAATACAAATGTTATATTACAACATCCTAAATATTCAGTTTCCTCCTTGCACGGACTATAAACTCAAAACAGTCTGTCTATTATGAGGAAACAAAAAATATGATTTCATATGCTTTGAAAATGAAGATCAAATTACGTAGACATTACACATGAGCAAAGTCTATGGTGCCAGAGTGAATTTTTACAAGTTTTATGGGCGATATATAAAACTTCCCAGTAAGTAAACAAGGGCAAAGGTCCATAGAAAACATTTTGGAACATGAAAAATAAATATATTATACATACTTTAATATGTGAAGAAGTACTTTCCATAGTAACTTAGCATAAAGCATTTACAACAGCTCAAGTGAAAAATGCTAAAACTACAAAGATTTCCATTAAATATGGCATAAAGTTTAATGATCCACACAAAGCGTATATACTGTTCCCACAATGAGTGCAGGATACATTTTTTTTCTAAGTATTGTAAATGTCTTTGGTAAATTTGCAAAATGTACTTTACCAAAGCAATGCATTGTAAACAAACTCATGTTTTAACTATCTCAGAGTATAGCTTTTGACAGCCTGTAAGCTTTGCCATTACACAATCACGCATTTGCTTTCCATACGAAAGCTTTCCAGAGATTAAACTAAAAAGACAAGACTGGGCACAGACAGCAAGCCCAGTCTAGCTCTTAGCCTGTGGCCATTTTATTCTTTCACATGGATCAACTCTATTGTGAAAAAAGTCAGACCTAAAAAAAAAAAAAAAAAAAACAGTCTGCTCTCTAGCCATGGGTTATATATTCTTCATACAAACAGAATGTAAACTATTACATTACCTTTTCCCAACACTTGAGATTAGTAACAATGGATTTTTTGCTTAAAAGGAGAAGTTTTGGGTGACCACCCCAAAAAATAGCCACTTCCAAGCTGCAGCATCGGTGTGATGCTGCGGATGTCCTCTGCTGCCGCTAAGCCTTTGAACCCAGAAGAGGAGTAATAAAAAAAAAAAAAAAAAAAAACTGACCATACTTTTAAATATCCATCTGTTCCTTTCCAAAACTTAAAAGAGAATGTTACCTTCTTTAAAGCCCATTTCGGAGCTCTCCTCCGATAGCTGGCTTTGGGGAGAAAAAAAAAAAAAAAAAAAAAAAAAAAGCATCTAAATGCCTTTTTTATTCACTAAAGGTCTTCTCTTTACAGGAGTCTAGGTCTACATCACTGACTGCATAAGTGGGCAATTCCTATTGGCTGTCCAGCGATAGGGTCCTCTCAAGAAACAGGAGTGTGCAGCGGTGATGCCAGCATGAGGGGACCGTCAGGGTCCGGCCCATTTGGGCATATCTGCAGCGCTGGATTAGCAGCCCCCTGAACTTGGAAGCAAAGGCAGCTAGTCACAAAGACAGCAGACTTAGAAGTGTATATCTTGCTTTACAAGACAAAAAAAAAAAAAAACAAAAAACTGCAGGATTTGTCAGAGGGAAGTGGGTTCATATTTTGCCTGGAATGAACTTTAACCTAAAGAATGAAGCAGAGGAAGACACTGAAAAAAATAGTTCTTCTCTACTACATCTTACTACATCCATCTGTAAACAGATCCACAGTTAAATCCCAACTGCAAGTGAATTGGTGTCACTGGGAAACATAATAACGGATAGCTCTATATATCCAACAGAAAATAAAAATAAAAATCTGGAGTCGGACTTAAATCTGAACATGTAAAATGTGTGGATATCGCTCAATAAGGCTCTTTGCATTTTGATACTTGCCATGTGACTGGTGGAACTTACTTTTTTCTTTCTCCACTTCCATGACTTGTTTCTTCCACTCATCAAAAGTTGGAATGTCAGCGGGGTCCTTTGTGTTCCCTGGAACAACTGGGTCACCTTTAGCCACCTCTCTGTCATCAGTCAGCTGTGCATTCCAAAAAATATGTTTTAAAAAAAAACACACACTAAATTTATGCTATTACTAAGCTGGCCTTGAAACTTTCAACGAAAAGATATTCAAATTCAACATTCATTTTATAAAAAAAAACTAGTTTCTCATTTCCAGTCAATACCAAAAAAATATTTTTAGCCCCAGGTACTACTATGGAAAAAGTGTGAATATAAAGAAGGTTTTTAAATATTGCCTACTTTCTTTTCCTCTGAATTACTGAAAACCAGAGCTTTTTGCCTTATACAATAACTGCTGCTCTCTGGGGAACAAGAGAATATTTGACTCATCTGGAAACTTGTGTTTCCATGTAACGCACTAGTCCTACAAATACATGGCAATGCCCAGTACAGGACAGCTTTTTATAAAGCTAGGCCCTAGTGTAATACAATGCTGTACAGAAAATGAAAACACACTATTGGTTTACATATTTCAATATTATGCCACAATTCCAGCCATGAGCATACTGACCTCTTTCTCCAACTCTTCAGAGGAATTAAGGTGCACTTTCTGTTTTTCTGCTTCAGGTTCAGGAGCTGACACTTTGGCTTCAGTGTCTGAAGATGTCACCTTTCGTTTGTTGTGTGAAACTGAGATGTTCTCAACATGTTCATTCACAAAACTACAGAGAATGGTTAAAAGGAAAAAAAAATATATATGTATATACACATACATACACACACACACACACATTACAGATTTAGTAGTCAATGGTGAAGCATGTACATCTTTGAAAGCAAGCACTTGAAGATGCATTGTTCATACAAATGTAATAAATAAACGACACAATAACATCACACAGATCTAAACACAAAAGCATTTGTCCATTCCCTCCCAAAACAGTTATCTGAACATGCGTTGACTAATATTTTATATTGAGGTTTCCAATAATTATTTGAAACTAAACCTGTATATAGCTGCAAAAGCGAAAAGAACTGGCAAACTGTCAGCATTACATTTTGAGGGCAATTCTGCCGGAAACAAAACTGCAAGGCTTATTTTAACATGGCAGCAACCATTTAAAAGATTAAAATAAGGCGTTTCAATATTTGAGAAGCACCGAACAGCAAACTGCCAGATCTGCACTTGTCAAAATGAGCAGTCAGTGAATTGCTTTATTTTTATAATTGTAAACGGTCTTCATCCATATTATTCATTATGCCTTTTAGATGGGATAGTCAAGTGGAAGCTGGTCTGCAAAAAGCCAGTCTAATTCTCATTTTTTTTTTTTAAATGGCACAGACCCAGAACAATATTGAGCACCCCTTAAAATTGGGAAATTCTTAATTTCACAAAATGAAAACCATATCCTCAAAGCCTTTCAGTTTCACTCACGTTTTTATATATTCCATGCATATTTAGTAGGTAGATGCTTAGATCAAGAAATGCAAGCAGAGCAGGCGAGCGATGGAATGCAGCATGGCCTTAGCAGCGGATGAAGAGTTACCTTTTTTCAGCTTCTTACTTTTGGAATGGTTTTGCTTTAACAAGCACAACCTACTTCAATACTCACCTTGCTGATGGATTGATAAAGGAGGGCTCACTCTGAGGCTCAACCTCTACGGCCCCCCCAGTGTCACAGTCAGGTTCTGACTGCTCAGGTTCACTAGAGCTGACTACAGGGAGAGCGGCACTGGACGCTTCTATTGCACTGAAGGGAGAGAAATAACAAGTCTTTTTACACTGGGGGAGTTTCAGAAAAATTTGCACCAAACTATTATGGACACACAAGGGATAGGGGACATTCTCTGCATTCTCTTACAAAATCAGGCAGGGACTAGCCATAAATTACTAAACACACAGGAATTAGTATATCAAGTTTTTACTGGATGCAAAGCTATTAAGAGCCTGCCAGAAACCTGTGGTTTGTAATCTAATACGGATGTGGTTAAGATTGATTGATGTTAATGGGAAATTTCAGCAATGACCACTCACATGGCCGCATCTTATCTAATATCTGCATTAAACCTGAAAGTAAAGAGGTTTCCTGCAGATTACACAGTCTATTGACTAAGAAGACCACGATGTCCATGCCAACAGACACAAGATGACTGCAGAAAACCTGATCAATTGTGGTCAGATCAGGACTTGAGCACACATCAGGTTAGCACTATGGAATCTGTCCACCCCATCAATTTCACGAGAGAAACAAAATTAGGGCCGCTATACAAAGCTTGATTTCCCCATTTGGCCTAATGGCATGGATGACAGAATCTCCACTGCCAGCTGCCTGAATAGAGTGGCACTGCTGAACAGTGACTGCATCTAATAGGATGCAGTCACTGTTCGCCTGATTATCTTTCTCCCAGCTCAGTCGATTTTATAATTGACTTTTGTTAAGCTGGATAGTGGTAGCAGGACCACCCACTGCTTGAATTTTGGCCAATTCAGAGGTAAATTGGACAAAATTTGAGCTATGGGGGCCTTTAAAACGAGCGCCAGGAATGTTTGTATGGTTTAGAAGCATGAAAAACTCCATTAGTTGTGCAATAAAAGTTCAGTGGTTAGTGCTATCTTATGTCTACTGGTACGTTTAGACTGTTACAAGCATGTAGATGCTCTGATCCTACTGACAACAGAGCATCAGCATTTCAAAATCTCATAAGGGAAAGGCAGTATAACCATACAGGGGAAAAAATGTATCAAAAAAGTCTTCCAACCTAATCAGTGAATAGCACAGTAAAGGCTTCTCCGTCTCATTTCAGGAAAGTGGGCAGAGCCATTCCTTTACGCCTCATCAGCCAGATGCACCTCCAGAATATTAGTCTATATTCGTATGGCTACATGCTTATTATACAGCAGTGGATCTGGAGGTACATCTGGCTGATGGGACATAAAAAGGAATGGATTTGCATGGGTCCACCCACTGTCCACGTTTGAGGAATAATTTTTAATCCTCCTATTTTTGGGTTATGTGATGAAATGAGAAATGTGAAAACTTTCTGTTCTGAAAAGACTTTACTGCACTATACACAAAATTTTACCAGTAAATTAAGTAAAAGTGTTATAGATCAGCAAAACATGTTTGTTACATACTCTGAGCCTTATGTAATATAAATGGAGAAATAGCACAGTGGTGGTGTTGACTGCAGCTAGAAAATGTTTACTAATTCCCACTATTGCTCATTTTTATAACTGAGGAACCAGGAAGCTGACAGTTGTGTGCCAAACTTTCATAGATTTGCTAAAAGCCAGCTGCTAAAATATAGTCAGTCCTTCGAATAAACAGTTTTCAAACAAATGTTATTACAGCAAGACATTTATATTTATACGACTGCACATTCTAGAATGTAGACACCAACTGCACATTACAAAAAAAAAACAAAACAAAAAAAAAAAAACTGTATCAATACCCCACAAACTATTAAGAAAAAACATAATTTTGGCTGAATACGATGCACAGTTAGAAACTATGCAGTGTGCAGAAGTTGCCCAGATTTCAGGCTGTACAAATGCTATAAAAATTGCTCAACTGCGCATAGAAAAGGCACAAAATAAAATTGCACAGAATAATATGTAAATAAAAGCAGAACAGTCTAATATTTACAAGGAGACACGCATGCAATATGTTCCAGTTAAAGAATATGTGTCCAACAGTGTCAACATTTTTCTTGCTTCTAATTTTCAAAATAAAATTTTAACCAAATAAGTAAAGATTTATATGTATTTCTCTCAAATTCTCACTGTTCATGCCAACATTTACATAAAAACGAATGGTTTACTCTCTTCAGCTAGTGGAAAACGTCAAAGTTTACCCCCTTTCACTGAGAGTGTTAAAGTGAACCGGTGCCCAGACTAGGCAAACTAAAATATTTACATATTTTGAACAAGATGTGAAACCCTTTAAACAAATCCCACTCACCTCTGTAGCTATAGGTAATGTGGGGCAATTTAAAAGTTCAAAACAGAACCACAGAAATCTCAGTTTGTGTGGCCTGCTAATGTCAACAACCAAAGGTGTTTATAAGCAGAAGAAATGGACCTAATAGTGTTTGTTGTGATCTTTGAGAAATTACTTCCTGTCCCAGTGGCAACTACACTCCCAATTTCTTGTAAGGGCATCATGACATGCTACAATATAAACATGCAAAAGCACAAGTCTCCGGTATTTTTTTTTTTTTTTTTTAAGTCAATGAATGCTTTCTTTAAGAAAAAAAAAAAAAAAAGTTCTACAGAGCCATTTCAGCTATTACAATATCAACAGCAAATGTTTGCTTAAGAATCTTGGGAAAAGTAATGATGTATTTGAACATATAACCAAGTCTAACAAGAGTACAAGACAAAGAACAAGCATGATTTGAAAACAATCAACTGGAGTTAATAAATAAATAAGATAGTTCCTGTACTTTCAGGATTTTCCTAATCTTCTACAGACAAGTTGTTTTTTTTTTTTTGCATCCTGGAATCAATAGCTATCAGACCTTTCCAGTAAAATCGTCACAACATAACCTCCTGGAAAAAAAAAATGAGGTCTGAATTTATTTATAATGACAATGGGTCAGTATGAGGAAGCAAAAAAAATCAAGCTAACATCTCCAAGATAAGGATTATGGATTCATCTTATTAGTTTGAGAAAGCACATTTTAAAAGACAGGATCGCTGTAAAATAAATAAACGCCCATTTTTCTTTCAGGTTAAAAAAAAAAAGTGAATTTAATTTTTTTTTTTGAAGCCTGGAAAGCATTGCACCAGTGATCATCATTGCTAGTGCCATGCAGGACATTTCATACGAGCAAGCAGATACAGTCTGACAGGAAGACTCAATGAACTACCACGGCTCTCAACAGCGCTGCTGTAGTTCATTGACAACTACACGCCGACAGCCGCAAAGGCTGTAGCTCATTCATTCACAGAACTCTGTGAATGAATGACATGGCCGTGTGGGCTTAGTACCGCACAGCTGTGCAGTTTTCAAAAAGTGACA